TCCCTTCCCTTCCCTTCCCTTCCCTTCCCTTCCCTTCCCTTCCCTTCTCTTATCTTTCTCTTTTGCTCTGCTCGCCCCACTCCCTCTTCTCTCAAAGCTCAGTTCAGTCTACTACTTCCTGTCCCTGCTCTGGACTCTTCCAAGTGCCTCTCACTGTAGGCCCTCATGCCTACAATAAGAACCATCCCCTCAGCCATACCTTGAAGCAGCTATGTCCTTGCTTTATATAATTTTGTCAAAAGCTCTGCTTTTATCTTATCATAACTGGGTCTGCAGGTCCTTTCCCTACTCAGTACAGAATACAGATGGCTAACCAGTTCAGAGAGTCAGCTGAAAATTTGACTAGATGGCCAATGGCAATCACAGTCAGCTTATATTACAAAGGACTCTGCTCCACTCCCAGAGCAAGTGTGCTCTCTGAATGATCACTCATTCAGGCTGAGTTATAAGGGCTGTGACAAGCTCAGATCTTTCTCAGCATTGGATGGTGTGTTTTTATCTCTATATTGAGATTATAAGGAGCCTGGGTTCATCTGGTATGTCAACGTGGCATCTAGACCACATGAATCTGGTCTGGAACATCACCACCCCACTCTCCCTTAGTTGGGTGTTGGAAATACTATGTAACTTAATAACTAGCTGCCAAGGACTGTGGCTTCCAGAGTCCAGGCTTTAACCTATTCATGCCATAGAACTAGCAGGACAGCTGGTCATCAGTTATTTCAAAGTTCAGTCTGGGGACACTCAATCTCATGGTCCTGGTTTTAAACTGAGATTATGTAACTTTACCAAAACCTCTATCATCCATCTTACCCACCCTTTCACTCTACAGCTTCAGATATTTGCTCAGATAATTCCCTCTTACCAGAAGCAAAGGAAAGTGTTGTCCAAACCCACGGGAGGCCAGCCTCACAGTCTGATGAGAGCGCAGTCCCCAAGCCTGAGATCAGGAAAAGTAGAAAGATCCCTTGCCAGTCGTGTGCTTCCCTGATGGCAGGGAGGTGAGCAGAGACAAGCAATAAGGTTCAGGAGAAAAGCCAGCTGGGTACTGGAGGCCACTCCTCAACTCCCATCCCCACCCTCCTCCCCTTTAACCCCACCCCAGCCCCTATATATACACCACAGACACACACACACACACACACACACACTCACACACACACACACACACACACACACACACACACACACACACACAC